AGTTAAACATGAAGAACATGTTTCCACTTCTCACCCACTAAAACACAAGTCAAGTTAAACATGAAGAACATGTTTCCACTTCTAATCCACTAAACCATAAATCAAGTTAAACATGAAGAACATGTTTCCACTTCTCTCCCACTAAAACACAAGTCAAGTTAAACATGAAGAACATGTTTCCACTTCTCTCCCACTAAACCATAAATCAAGTTAAACATGAAAAACATGTTTCCACTTCTAACCCACTAAACCATAAATCAAGTTAAACATGAAGAACATGTTTCCACTTCTCTCCCACTAAAACACAATGTCTGCAAAGTACTAAGCTGTTATCTTCCTGTTTTATAATAAGCTAACATAGATGTACATAAGAAAATATGTTTAAAAGGTTTGGTGTTATCGTAGAAGGATTAGCTTGCCATCCCCTCAATTACGTAATGGACTACTATTATCAACAACAAATGAAACATTCTTGAGTAATTATTTCAGGCTATTTAGCAATTTTCTAAATATAGATAAAAACAGGATCATCAAGGTAAAACAAAACAACATGTTATATCTTCGGACGTTTACGGATGTTATACATTCAATCATCATCAGTCTAAAATGTTCTCATATAACATAAATATGTAGCATATACAAATACATATAATATATACATATAACAACAAATAGTAACATGCTTGACATGGAGAAAAAAAGCATACAAAATATACGGAGGGGAACAGATAGGTATGTTTCACAAAGGTAAAAAAAATGTATCAAAACAAGAAGAGGTGAAGGGAACTGAAGCTATTACTTAGACCTGGATATTCGTTTGAGATACATAGACTTTCTTTGACCAGATCGTAGTTTGAAGATCGTAACGTTAAAAGTTGAAAATAGTTTAAATGATAATTTGTCAGTGTGTGCGAATATGGTAACCACACGGTTTTAGCAGTGGTTGTCCAGTTTGCTTGAAAGTCCTATATGTTTATTGGTACGTATTTTTAATTAGCGTTTTGTTTTGCCAATATAGATCGCTTTACATTCACCACAAGTGTACTTGCAACTTTCTTTTTAAAACTAAAGACGTTCTGTCTACTTCTCTAAGTTTGTGGATCGTTCACAAATATACACCTGGAAAAAGGTTAAGCACCCCCGTGTTTTTTTCAAGTGATTCAGATTCGACGTTCTT